TACTAGGATCCACATATGAGGGAGAACATATGTCGATTTTTTTTCTGAGTCTGTGTTACTTCACTTAGTATATCAGATTCTAGTTCCATCCATTTACCTGTAAATTTCATGATGTCATCTTTCCTTACTGCTGAGTAAACCTCCATAGTATAAATGAACCACATTTTCATTATCCACTCATCAGTTGAAGGACACTTAGGTTGTTTCCATCTCTTAGCTACTGTGAAAAGAGCAGCAACAAACATGGATGTACAAGTGTCTCTGTGATAGGATGAGTTCTTTGTGTATGTGCCAAGGAGTGGTATAACTGGGTCACGTGGTAGGTTCATTTGTAGTTTTCTAAGAGTTCTCCACACTGCCTTCCATAGGGGTTGAACCAGTTTACAGCCCCACCAGCAGTGGATGAGTGTTTCCCTTTCACCACATCCACTCCAACATCTGGTATCATTTGTTTTCTTGATCTTAGCCAGTCTGACTAGGGTAAGGTGGAATCTTAAAGTGGTTTTAATTTGCATTTCCCTAAATATTAGGGATGTTGAACATCTTTTAAGATGTTTCATAGCCATCTTTACTTCTTCTTTTCAGAACTCTCTGTTCAAATCCTTAGCCCATCTTTTAATTGGGTTGCTTCTTGTCTTGGTTCTCTGTTTTTTGAGTTCGTTATAAATTCTGGTTATTAAACCTCTGTCGGATGTGTCACTGGTGAAGATTTTCTCCCATTCTGTGGGTTTTCTGTTTGCTTCCTTAGTTGTCTCCTTTGATGTACAGAAGCTTTTAAGTTTAATGAGGTCCCATTTGTTAATTCTTGCCCTTGTTTCCTGGGCAATTGATGTCCAGTTTAGGAAATCCTTTCCTACGCCTATGTCTCACAGGTTATTGCCAATGTTTTCTCTAACAGTTTTAGAGTTTCAGGCTTCACATTGAGGTCTTTGATCCATTTGGAATTGACTTTTGTGCAAGGTGAAAGATAGGGGTCTAGTTTCCTTCTTCTACAGGTGGAGATCCAGTTTTGCCAGCACCATTTGCTGAACATGCTGTCTTTCCTCCAGTGAATG